AGAGCGCGGCGGCGGCCGGAGAAAACAACTCCGAAGTTGGCGAGAGGCACCGCCCCAGCTGCCGGGCCGCCGCCGCCTCCCCGCCCCCAGCCCTGGCATCCGGAGCACGGGTCGAGCCTGGGCCATGGAGCCCCCTCGGGGAGGCGACACCCGGGGACCTGGACGCCCGGAGCGCCGCTGCCTCCCCAATGGGTAGACCACAGAGGCTCCGGGACTCCTGCACCTCCAGGATGCTGCCGGCCATCCTCCTCCTCCTCCTCCTTGGTAAGAACCCACCCGGCATCCCGCCCCCAGGGCTGTCACCGCGCCCGGCCGCTCTATGTCCCCCAAGCGACCCCTCCCCGCACCCTGCCTCGGGGGCCCGGCTCCACCCGCACACCCCGCGCTGCCTGCCCCTGCCCGACCCCCGGAAGTCCCCCGCGGCTCACTCGCCCTGGTCTCTCTCCGGCTTCCCCTGACCACCTGCCAACCCCACGGGCCCCCCGTCGGACCTTCGAGGTCACACACCACAGCCTCCCTCAGCCCGGAAGTCCCGTGCGGCTTCCTTTCCTCCTGGAGTTGCTCAGGTGAAGAAAACTCCTAAGGGTGACTCACGCTCCTGCCTTTCTCGCTTCTTCCTCTAGGGGGCGCTGTAGCCCATCCAGACCGAATCGTGTCCCCAAATCCTGGTGAGTGGAGGGAGCCCCTGGCGCTCTGTGGGCTTGGGAAGCAGCGAGCCTCTAGAGAAGGACCCTTTCTTCCCTGAATTTCATGAGTCCTACCGTAGTTTTAGGATGGAGATCATCCATCGTTTATTTTACAGACCTAGGAACTGAGGCCCAGTGTGGACCTGACCTGGTAGTTGTTCTGTACGTTTTAGTGTTTTTCTCCCAGAGTATCCAAACTTGATCTTCTGGCTGAGGGTAGAGACAGTATTTCCTGTTCCTCCTGGCCCAGTGACCGGCGCAAAGCAGATCTCAGCACTGTTTGTGGAGTTGTTGATACTGAAGGTGAAACTATGATGAGTCTGGAAGGAAGAGGAGGGACTGAGGGCCATAACTCCAGGGTGTGTGAGTGTGTGGGTAGGCAGGCCTCAAGCCTGGGAACCTGCGGGAGGCTACAGCACTCACCAGTGTTGCTACTTTCCTCCCTCCAGCGTGTGAGAATCCGCCGGCATTGCTCTTGGAAGTACAGGGCAGCTTACAGAGGCCCCTGGGCCGAGACAGCCGCAACTCCCCTGCCAACTGTTCCTGGCTCATCCTGGGCAGCAAGGAGCAGACCGTAACCATCAGGTGAGAAGCAGGGCAAGGTCCGGTGGCTCTCTCTGCTCTTCTCCCCTCCACTGTGGAAAAGTCTTCCCTTAGGGGGCAGATAGGTGGCAGGGTGGTTAAGGGCTCCCACTTAGCTGAATGCGGTTCAAATCCTAGACCTAGGCTTCATTTCTCACTTTCTCTCTCACTCTGTCCCTCTCTGGCCAAATAGAAAGAAAGAAAGAAAGAAAGAAAGAAAGAAAGAGAGAGAGAGAGAGAGAGAGAGAGAGAGGGAGGGAGGGAGGGAGGGAGGAAGGAAAGAAAGAAAGAAAAATAAAATAATTCTTTTTTTTTTTTGAGAGAGATTTTCACTATAGGGCGCATGCGCTCGCCAGACAGACAGAGACAGAGAGACGGAAAGCGAGAAATCACCTCCCAGGGGGGATGGCCACTCCGCAATCCCTTCTCCTCCATTCTCCTCT